AAGGCAGGGGTGAGTCAGAGTACGAGGAGTGGATGGGCACGGGCAAATCAACAGCTACCACCACGCAGTGATGCAAGGAAAGGCAGATCAGGTTGTTGCTTGCATGGCTGGGGATAACCCCCCCAGCATGCCAATCAGATGGATGCCCATGTGTGAGCACACGCTGGACTGCCCACACAAACCACAACAGCTACAGCCCTGCATGCAGAGCCTGCTAATTGCCCTCCTGAGATGCAGTTCCCCCTCGGAGTATATCTGGCGCTTTCCTTAGCTTACACTGTGACATGCTCTCATTAGCTGGCAGAGTTCCTCCTTGTTCAACAGGAGATTGTTTCCTATCCTCCTGACCCCAAATGACACTTTAATCTACAAACACTGACTTTCCCTAATTGCACCTTGACGGAGAAAGAGGCAAACCCCTCCTTCCCCCTCCAAGGACTGCTATTTAATTAACAGGCAGGTATCTCTCAGGATTTGCAGCCCAGCTTTAAGCTGCCAGTCTCTCTACTCAGTACCTCAGGTCTGTGATGACTCACTCCACTTACTCTTACATATTGATACCTGTATTTTTGCTAATCCCCCTCTAGGCCAGCTCCCTGGATTTACTTCTCAGGGTCCCATGGGGAAAGCGTTTATTCCAATGAACTGTCCACATCTCCCTTTTCATTCACTTCCTGGTTACTGAGCTCAAATATTTATGTTGTAGATACCTTCATAGCAGAGCAATACCTATGCTGGCTCTGTCACCAGAATCTAGTTTAAGCCAGCTCAAATATCTGCAGTATAGACATGCCTATGGATAGCACACATGAAAGAGAGAAATAAGAGTCAAATACTGAACTGTCTGGATATCAGAAAGGTCACTCTTCCTTCCCAAACCAGGATCCAGTCTCACCGATCCATTCCTGACAGATKTTTTTCCCACTAGTTCTTAAAAGTCCACTATAGGAGACTTCCACAATTCCTAAGCAATCCTTTCCAGGGCTTCCTGCCTTCCTGTTATACATGTGAGAGCAATGGGGAGACGAGTGTTGAAAAACCAGCTTGCATATCTCGTTCAGAGGTGTATGGCTTCTGACATTGGAGGGTGTCAGAAGCAGATGGTGAGCAGATTCATTTCAATTTGATTTGGTTTTGTTTCGGTAGTGGGTGAAGGGGTAGCAAATGGTTACCTCTTATAGCTGTCTTTGCTAAGCACGTTGGGATCTACAGAAATCCCAARAAAACTAGTTTGTTACTGAATGTTATAGTTTGAGACTCAACTGTAAGACCTCAGAATTTTAATGCATGGATCRATACTCTCTGAGTCAACAACCCTGTTTTGAGAGCTTGTTTTGGAGAAGATATCAGACTTTCTCAGATCACATGCAGCTCAAGCAAAGATCAGGAGTGACAAATGGTCCGCGCAAATCCCACATCTTCATATGCCCCTGAGGGAACTGTATGTGCAAGTGAGCACTTGTGCTACCTCCTTTGGCTCCACATTGGAAAGAGCAGTGTTGCCATGGCATTACCTAAATTGTGGCAAATTGCTACCTAAATCCTTTGATGAGTGGCAGGGACTTGGCAGAGAGGGGATCACACAGAGCAACTGAGGGACTGCACTTCCCTTTTGGCAGCATCTCTGGTGTCTTCTCCAGCTTTGAAACTCTAAGGTGTCAGACTGTGCCTGGCTGAGCACCTCTAGTGACGGGGTATGCAAACCTGCCTCATGGACAAATGTCACTAGCTCTTCAATGAGAAATCCAGGAACAACCAAAGCTGGAGCTAGCAGGGACTGCAAAGGAGCTGTACCTTCGCACACTTGCATTTTAGTAAATACGTCGCTTTTCAAACATCTATCCCTCTGTCAGGGAAAACAAAGTGCAGGGGGGAGAAACAACTGGAATTCACATAATTAATGTAGGACCTACAGCATAATATTCTGCATAAGGCTGGCAAGCTTGTTATCAAATAAGGGACCAGTGCATGTTACATTAGCTGACAACAAGAAGTACAGCAGAACTGAATGTATTTACTGCTCTTTCCCCATCACTGAGCACTGCTTCATTCCTAAATCTTTCCCATCCACCCACTGGCTGGAAAACAAAAGGGGAAAAAGGGGCTGGAGAGTGCAGAAGAAACCAAAATGCACAGACTGTGCCCTGGTATTTCAAGAGCTGTTGTCACTGCAATTATCCACGAGAGGTTTTATCCTGAAGTTGCAGAAGTGGAACTAAAGCCCGGGGAGGGATAACAACAGGCTTTGGGTCATGCTAACAGTTGGGAGCAGAACTCTGAATCTCCAGAGCCGGCTTTGCCTGACTGTGATCAAAGACATTGCAGGAGGCTGCAAGGTTTGGGAGAAGTATAAACAGAGGGARAATAACTGTTCCATAGTGAGGAATTCACTGTGAGTCTTCTCTGGAGCTGGCATTGCTGCATCCACTGCAGTCAAGGAAACCTATAATTAATAAGGAATTAAACCCAGTTATTGAGTTCCCTTGGATCCACCCCATCTGCTGACCTGACCTGATCTCTCTGCAGGACAAATCAGCCTTTTGACCCTCTGAAATCAGCAGGGCTGTGGAGATGTCACTCAGAAGAAAGACCTGCCTGTATCAAAAGCCAGGGAGTCGCATTTCTCCATGAGGATGTAATTTGTCACTCTGTTCAACCTGTGCAGAAGAGGAAGAGGAGGAGGAGACAGGTAGGAGAGCGAACAACCCATCTCAGCCTAGCACTGCTTAGAGCTGCCCTTCCTCTCCACTGCAGAGGAGTGAGCAAAAGCAACCAATATGTATTGTGGCTGCCTTGCAGAGGGCTATTGATACAAGGAGGTTTTGCATGGRGAAGGGGCAGAGGGCTGGCTTCATGCATATACTGATGTTTCTAGTGAAATGTATACAATGGCTCTGGTAGTCCCCCCAAAAAATCACCTTTCCTGGCTGTACCTGCATAGGCTCTCTGGSGTTACAAGCAAACGTACTGCACATGACAAGTGGAGCCATCTCTGGTGGACACTGCTCTGAGCTGTTGAGCAAGTGAAGTTATGTATGGACATGCCAACTCATTTTATCTGGATCCCTTCTAACTTCCTTTTGAGTATACGGCCCCCTGGGACTTCCCAGCTGTGCGAGGAAATCTGTAAGAGAAATGGCTGCCTTAAGCCATGACTGAGGCATATCTGACAAGGGGATGGCCACTTGCTCTTTGGTTGTTCCCAGTTTAGGGCACTAAGCTTAAGGATGGGGATGCATCAGTAGGATTCAGAAGAGATTTCTTGCCTCCAGAGCAGTTTGAGAGGATAAACAGATGTCAGATTAAAAAAAGAAAAAGAAAAAAAAAAAAAACAACCTCAAATCCAAATGTGTCTGCCAGGTTCCCCTTCAGTTCATGGCTGGCATGCTTTGTTCTCCACCAATGGTATGGGAGGATTTAGCTCTATTGACAGATGAGCTCATCAGTTCCCCTCAGCTCTTGAAGATTTATCAAAGCCAGCTAATCGTGTTACAGACATCCGCCCTGGCCAAGGCACCCCGCTGCCATCATCAGCCAACAAGGTGGCACACACATGCACAGTGCACCAACACAGGCTTCATTTGGTTTTCAGTTCCAATCCCACTGACAAGAGGATGTCAACACTGGCTATATTTACCAATACAGATGATGCTCTCTCACCTGCCTTTGACACTCCTCATTCCCGGAGACATGTGACAGCTCTACCAGCACCTCATGGAGAAGCAGGATGATCTCTGAGGGCCAAGCTCATGTCTGGTTACAAGCACAGAATTGGTGACACTGGGAAGGATTGGTCTGGGTTTTGACAGGCCCAAGCCCAATCCAAGCTGGATCCTGAAGCCAACCGCCATTTTAATCCAGACACTGAGGTGTATTGTTGAGATCTGTCTCCTTATGACTGGATTTGTTTTACTTCTGTACTCTCATTTCACCAACTACTGGTCTGTGATATAGTCTGTACTGCTTTTCCTGAAGGTAGAACTGGGAGCTGTGCTCTTTTCCTCAGGAGTTCTTCTATATACAGATACTAATCTGACAAGTCAAGGGAAATGGCCTGTCCCACTCAGTTTCTGGGATTTATACCTTCTGCATTTACACTAGTGATGGAGGAAACCTGTCACAAGTAACTCTATGGGACCGTCTTTGCTTCCTGGGAGTTTCACTCAAATCAATGTTACCTGGTAGCTTGTGCTTGGCTGGACCATGCTCAGGAGCACATTTGGAGATGGCTGATGTTTACCAGACTGTTCTAGGCCACACTTCAGTGACWTGGTTTGATGGGTGCCATCAGGGATCACCAGCTATATCCCACTTTTTGGCAAGCCTGCACTGGGGTCAGAGCCTCAGGTCTTGGGGAGACAGTGCTGCACCCAGACTGGCTGCGRACAGAGATCTCGCCCACGTCCTGACCTCCTCCCACAGCTGCCTGGCTCAGAGCTGTTCAGTGCAGAGGTTTCTGTCCCTCTGACAAGGGTCCTGGGCTGGGCCATGACTCGGGCTACTTGGGATTTGCAGCTCCAGAAGGGGCAGCTACCCCTGCCAGGCAGAGACACTGGTCTGGGGAGCAAAGCATCTGGGCCCAAACCAGGCCCTGTTGTACTTAAATATGGGGCACTCCTTAAGCTATCTATTTCAGAAGGGAAAGGACTGTCATTCCCAATGTCAATGGTCTCAGTCCATGGCCTCACACTTCCCGACCCTTTGTCCTCCCAGACCTCTTCTCTCTCCAAAAAGAAATTGATTTCCCTGGTTTTACTCTCAGTGTGAYTGTGCAGTTGCTGCAGATCCCTCTGCCAGCCTGACCAAGGAGATACCTCGGTGCCTCAGAAATGAGCAGAGAGCACTGTAAAAAAGATGCCACAAGAGCACAGAGGAAGAAAAGCCAGGGGTTCAATCCGAGCAGAGCTGTACAGGCCGGCTCTCCACACGCCATTTCCCGCTCCCTTCTGGACGTGAGGGGGCAGGTGACGTCCGCCGTGCCAGGAGATGCATTCACCCACCTATACAGACAATGTCCATGAAGCCATACATTCCATAGCAGATCTGGAAGAGCAGGTCCTGGCGCTGCCATTTGGCTGAAGGACTGAAGGTCGACCAGATGAGCCAYGAGATACTGGCGATGAGGAAGAGGGAACCCAGGATGGCCGCTGCTATCTGAACCTTCTCAATGACTGTCAGAGAGATGGCTTGCCACTGCAAAGGGAGGCAGGGGGACAGCAGAAGGGACAAGTGGAAGGGAGGAGGGAAAAAAAAAAATAGAGATTAGTTACATGGTGGACTGTTTTACATCAAGGTAATTTGGAGATGCCAGAGAGCACCAGCAAGGATTGGGAAAAAAAATAGCATCCCCACATCAGTGGGTCTGTGATGGCCATCACAAGCCAGGATATCAGTTGTTACCTGTAATGGAGGCCAAGCAGCAGCCTGGGGCCACAGCATCCCACTGCTGTGAGGGGAAAGGCCTAAAGAGCTGAGCTGTCCTTTAGARGTCTCCCGTGTAAGTCAAAAGCTGGTTTCTGTGCCACTTTTTGTGAGATCTGACAGAATCACAACACTAGGTAGGATCTCATTGCGGCAATGCACACCCCATAAAACATGTTACAAACAGCACGAGTTACTATGGTCAGGACTCTTTGCCTTTAGGGCGATGACACATTCAGGCTTYGTTCCAAGGTAAACAGCAATACTTCTTCCTCAGAAGAAGAAAAAAATACAAATAACTCCTCCAAATCCATTGATCCATTCATTACGTCAAATATCTCTGTATAACCTACAGTACAAATATCCTGAGTCTGGACTCCTMATAATAAGCCCTACCTATTTGTATTTACACTGCTAAGAGAATGGTCCTGTAAAATAAAAAGCTGAAATTGCTTTCTCTAAAAAGGGACATGGTCTATGGCTGCTCTTGCAGATCACAAATCAAATGCCTCAACAGACTGGGGAGAGATAGTCCCTTCTGGCACTGAGGTATGTAGGCCACATTTAGCTGTGAGTCACATGCCCTTGAAATCTCAGTGGGATGGGCAGAAGTATAAATCAAGGTGGAATTTAGCCTCTTGCAGGTAGAGAGGATTGAAAGGAACTGAAAAGCTTTAGCCGGGATTCAAGCCCTTGTTCAGTGTCTCTGTGAAGYGGTAACTCTGGAGAGCCCTGAGCACCCTGCCCGGCTGTCAAACACACCCTGAGACAGCAGGGTCCCATCTCAAGCCCTGTGCCATCCCCTCAGAGAGCAAGAAGGGAGTTCAGTTGCTGGGCCCCTCTTTAATGGTTGCTGCTTCAGGAGAGCCCAGGTCAACCAGGAACTACCAATATTTTGGGGCTGTGGGCATGACCTTGAGTCCTGCTTGAAGGGCAAAAAGGGTAACAGGAGGCCCCACAGTGCTGGGGCAGACACCATGACATTGCCATAAGTCTGRAGAACAAGACCCCTAGATGGATAGCTGGATGCACCCCTTGTGAAGGGTTGTCTTTGGAGAGGAAGAGATGAGAGTGTCAGTCAGATGCTGATGTGTGCAGTTGCATCTGGAGGGAGTTTGCTTGGCTTAGCTCAGTGGTGAGCTGAAGTGTCCACCTCTGCCAGCTTTGGTTCTTGGCTTACATCCTGCAAGGACATGCAGCCTTCAAGTCAGTTGTCAGGGGTGTGCAGTATCAGTGAGGTGGGTGGTACCAGCTTCTCTCTTAGTTGGCCACAAAATAATACAGCCTGAGCAGACGCACAGACTGCATCCTGCTGAGCCAGGCCCGAGCTCTACTAACTGCAGTCTCCATCCTGCCATGCACTGCAATGGCTGGGCCAGTCAAATACAAACACAGAACACCGAGGACATACAGTAACCAGGACAAACAGGCCATTCCTGCTCTGTCCAAAGASCCAGCCTGCTCCATACCTTCACCAAATGCAAGCACAGCAGTGGCCCCTGCATGCCACGAAGAACATGAGGTAGTCGACAGTCCTCTTTCAAGGGCTGGGAGCTTGGTGGTGCATTTACAAGCACCACCAAGGCCAGATGCTTGAGCCCCGAAGAGATGCACAGCCACACAACKCCTCTCAAGTCATGAGACAGAGCAAAGGCTGCTCCAGGGCCAAGAGACTAAGAGGCAATGGGTCACCTAGCATCTGTTTCTCTCAAGTTTGGATTCCAAAGAGGGAACAGCAGCTATACAGTCTTCCCACCAGCTCTTCCTCACAAGACTGTAAGCAGACACAGGGCAAATCAGCTACTGGTATCAGCTCAGAGCTCCAGAACTACCACTGAGGAGGGATTGGGTATGTGGGTCAGTTTATACTTTCACCTTTGAAGCTTTCTCCAGACCTTGTGTCCCTTTCCACCAGCTCTGGCAAATGTTGAAGCAGCAGGAATGTTTTCAGTACCTAGTGCTACATGCTAAGGTTTTACTGCTAGTCACTCCTGCTGATCCATGTGTGGCTCTGCCAGCCAAATCATTCTGCATCATTTCTCTCTYGAGAAGAGGTAATGGACTGGCCACTCACCGTCTGGCTGGCAAACTGCAAGGCCTGTGGCAGCAACAGGTCCTTCTGAGGTAGTAACTAAAGACAGAAAAAGAAGCAGCAGCAGCTGATTTCTACAATTAACAACCATGCACAACTAGTGTCACTGTTTCTTCTGAGACAGAGAATTGAGTATATTAAAATTGTTATACTATCAAAGAGGACATGGCTTAGGGCAGAGGGAAKTTACACTTCTGAGTGCAAACTTCAAACCTGGCTCTTTCAGCTGAGAGCAGGGAGGCTGAAACAAAGGCAGGACGTCAGAAGCCTGATGCTGCTTTGTTGGTAGCAGCTACCAGGTAGTTCWCTGTGGTGACAATGAACGGACCTGGAGCCCTTCAGCCATGTGGGGTAGGAGGAGAGTCTCCCCCAGCATCTGGCACTACGTGACTGTGGCACACGCAGCAGCAGGCCTGACCATTCAGGAGGTGACACTGGGGTGTGATTACCCGCTGGCAAGGAGGTAAATGGGTCAGAGCTGAACATCAATTGGGCAAAATATCTGCTTGCAAAAGAATTTAATGTTTTTTCGGGGAGAAAAAAAAAAGTTTCGTCTTCTTCAGGATTTAAGAACTCCAATTTCAATTTAGCATCTTGCCTCATATGAACCACCAATAATCATCAAGAATGGCAGATTTTTTTTTTYCATCTCTTATTTCCATTTTGTTGCACATCCTAGGGTAAGTGGTTTGGCCAGAAAGAAAAACAGGGGCCACGCAGAGGGCAAAGCATGTTGCACCAGTTAAAGCACAGACAGAAGTGTGTTCTGATGACATCATCAGAAGAGGAATCTGATGATGAATTTTAGCTGCAGGAAGTGGGCCTGGTGCCTCCTTGTGCTGGCAATCTCAAAGGCTGATCTCTATTGAGTACTTAGCCTTTCAGATCTCATAATAGCTCTTAGAAATCACCCGCTCTCCTAATCCATCTCTATGATCTTTAAGGCCAGCAGACCAGGGATTTGGTGGGTGATCCTACTGTCCTCAGGTCATTGTGACAGCTGCAAGAAGAAAGCAACACTGCAGCCTTCTTTTACCAGCACTTTTGAAACCTCTCAAAGCCCTTTGCTTGAACGCCTGGTTATAAATACAACCCCCTCCCTCCAAATCTCCAACTCAAACATTCATGTTCTAGCAAGSTCACAGTGTCAGCAGTCCCACCTTGCAGGGGAGAGACCTCAAAATGAGCCCTTCTCTCCTCAACTTATAATGACTGCCAAGGCCCAGGTAACTGCTGAGTTGTATTACAAGTTCACCTTTGACGAGTGGCAGCTCTCCCAAGTTGTCAGTCAAGAGAATAACTTCTAGACAGGTAGAAAGCTCTGCAGATGCTCTGCCACGGCTGAATAGGGCAGAACTAAGGAACTGGTGATACCAAAAAGCATTAAAGGCTCCTACAGGGTAACAGGAGCAGCTTTGTGAACTCTGTGCTTCAGAGCATTGAAGCAGCTCTCTGCAATGGCTGGCCAACCACGCTGGGAAAAAGACTCTTTTCCTCTAGATCACTCTGAAAAAAATGTCATTTTTCACTGAGGAGCAGCCTGGCTCTTCTCTGCTACCATGCCCCTTGGTTAACTGCTTTGGCACAACACCCAGCTATGAGCATGTAAAACACTAACCTCTCTTGGACTGTTTTTCCCCCCATTTTCCCCATTTTCCCCAAATTGCAAATCTCTGTGACCCAAATACCTCAGAATGCGTTTGCTAAGAGCCCAGTGATCTCAGCCAGGGGTCAAGCTGGGACCTGTGCCTGCTGGTCATGCCATACTTTTTCTTTCGCACTATTTTGTAATTTACATTTTAAACTTGGAACAAGGCAGTTTCTCTCTTTGCTTCAGTGCTTCTGCTCAAAGACTTCTGACTAAAAATTCCTGTTGGAGATGTAACACTAATTAATAATGTCATTATTATAATATTTAGGGCACGATCTGTATTTCCCTTTGTCTGGCACGTACAATCTCCAAATATTCAAAAGCACCRACATGATCAGATCCAAGGTACCTATTTGCCTGCAGAAGAAATCTATGTCTTACTGCAGCAACTTGCTMAGAAGACTTGCTTGCTAGAAAAGCCTTCCTACACTCCTGAGATCTCCCCCATCCCTGCCTCAGGCAGTTCAGTTTATTTTTATTGCTGTATCTGACACGTCCCCTTAGTATGTATCATTAACATCCTGAGCTGTGCTAGTCAGCAATTTCATTTTCAGGGCCACAATTACAAGCAGGCAGCAGTTTTTTCTTCCTGGAAGGATGAAATGGACCTTGCCCAGTACTACTTAGGTCTGGCTGTCCACTTGCTGCTGCCCCAGGACCCTGGGAATCCTCTCCAATCATCTTTTGGAGGATGGCTTTTCTTTYTGCAAATTCACCAAGCAAATTTATCCTACAGATACAATAGCTCCCCTGTTGTGCATTTACAGATCATGTGGCTTATGCAGATACCGTGAAGGCAGCAGCGAGGAAGAAGGGTCCATTCCCAAAGCACCTGGGCTACATAATGAAACAAGTGCAGTGATGAAACCTCCTCTCCCCCATGTGCCACAGCATCTAATAAAACTCAGACTATGGTATCTGTGTCCTAGAAAGCCCCTGTTACAAGGCCCATACTGTGATATCTCTGTTGCTATGACTGCTTGCACTGCTTGCAGGCTGGAGCTGAAGCAGGAGACAACCAAGGGTCATACAGGAGATCCAGCCAACTGGGACAACTAGGAGACCCCAGTGAACTTGGCTCTGGCCTTTATGCTGGGGAGTTCAGGCTGAAGTTCAGGCACGCTGGTGCATTTCTTGTGGATATTGGAGAGCTGGTAAAGAGGCTACAACAACAACAAAAAAAAGCCATCAATCAGCTCTTAACAGACCATCTCCAATGTCAGACTAGGGCTAGAGGAGAATGGTAACAGATCCCAGTCCCGGGACTGAGGATCTTTGGAGCTGGAACAACCCATGAGACAAAAAGAGTCAGAGACAGCAAGTGTAACCAGAGCAGAAATTCCCCAGACTTTAGACAGTTTTAGGCCTGGAAAGGCTGGTTCAGACTCTTGTTTTTGCTGAAATCAAARGATCTGATTCCGCTCTTGGAAGAGTGGATATGGCTCAGCAGTGGTTACTAAGGAGGAGGATAGGGAGACGCACCACACAGTCCTGTCATGGCAGATGAACTCCCCACCATGTATCAGGTCCAAAGTGCCTGTAGTGCTATCAGATGCTCCCAAAACTTCGTGTCTTCAATATTTAAAAACTTTTTAAAGTCATAGTTTTTGAACAAATACTGCAATAACGAGAAGGATTTCAAGTCCCTCCTGTCCACTACTCTTTTGTTTGAGACTGGCAGACTAGGCAGTGGAACATGGATGTAGAGAAAAAGACTCTGTAACCTCTGGTTTGTCACAGCCTGTGGGATATTTTTGTTCATTTGCTGACTGACTGCTGCTTGGCAGGATGCTTTCGATGTTCTCTGACAACCTTAATCTCCCCATCTCAGCAGGTCCGCAATGTTGTTGCTTTAAGACCTCTGCTATTAAATCCCCGCAGTCCAGGGCTGGGGGTTAATTTATAGAGATTCGTTCTGTTGTGTCAGAATACCAGGCCAGAGGCCTCTCTCTGCTATGAGACATCACAACAGCCTGGAGGCTGGAAGGAATCTGTGTTAATTATGTATGAGCTGTGTTCCCCCAGCTTTAACTTCTCTGCCCACGCCATGAGTCTCCACACACATCTGGCCCATGCCATTCTCCTAAACACTCAAAAAAATGTGCAGCACACTCAAAGTTGCAGAGAAATGTGCAAATCCTGAGGAAGAGGTGGGCATTGGGTGTGCTGAAGTGCTCTCTGGTCTCTGTGAAAGGTAGGGATCATTCCCTACCATTTACTTAGAGACATGCTGGTTTGCGAGGTGGAGCCTGTTATCCTTATTCTGGGTGAGGAATGAGCAAAAGGGAGGCCTCTTCCAGCCACACGCTATCGCAAGAGCAATACTTTGTTCTTGTGCAGAGCACCAAAGTACTGCAGCACCCCGTCCCTTTCCCCATGTTAAAGGATGGGGAGAACTACAGGAATGAGGGAAATGGTGCTGGGTTACCCAAGGCTTTAGCCCCTTAGTCCTCTTGGAAAGTCCAGGCCTTGCACCCTAGMAGCTGCCTGGAGGGTTTTCCTGCTGGTGCTTGCATAGTACCTGTGTCCCAGAAGTGACTTTGTGCTCACACTATACAGGCGCCCTGGCATGCAGCTGTAACTCTACACATTTATCCTAGACCAAGTAGCTTTTCACTCCAATTGCACCTTGCCAAATCTCCACAGAATTTCTCTGGGAAATGCTGTGAAAACTAGGCCAGAAACATGAAGCCCTCAGAACTCAAGGTTTGTGTGGTCCTCTGGAAATCTGTCTGTCAGAGCTACACTCTGTAACTCAGTTACTTCTGCCAGTCAGCTTTCACGCTTGTGGCAGAGACCAATAGATTAGGCCACGTTTAAAGACAGGACCCTGAAGAGAACAACTATTTTGCAAGTATTTGAAATGTGCACATGGGAAAGGGAGCTTGTGTGTGAACAGCTCTAGCAAATTTTGGCCAAGTGAGGAGCAGGGTAGAAGTCAATGGCCCATTTCCCTGAGCCACATAAAGGTGTGGAGCACCTGGAGGTCATCTARTATATGTCATGCTAGTTACATTCACACTCTCCAATCTGCACCCACAAGCACTTGATACCACTTGGCTTCACACCCTTCATCTGAAGCGTGTGAAGCATTAGGGCACTCRGGGACACAACCAATGCTACTTTGTCCAAGTCTCCCCTCTTGTTTTTCAATCTGGTGTGAGTTACTAGAGCCAAGAAAGCAAGACACCAAGRTCTGGGGTCTGGGATGAAACTGCTAATCTCTTTAGTCCACAGGACATGGAAAATCAAATGAGAAGCTTCAGGGGAAGAAGCCTTTTTTCTTACCCCTCATCTCCAGTCCCCCCCAAAATTCCATATGACATCCCCACTAACTTTGCTACTTCATTTTAGTATGCAGATCTAGAGAGATGTACCTGTTTCCTCATTGTGTTTAGGCCCCTTAGGACTGAAACAAAAGACAGAGGGTCTTCTCCCTACCTCCAAGGCCCTCCTTACCTCCAAGGCCCTAATGGTACTCAGTAAAAGCATGCAGCAATTAACCCAAATTCAGGTGTTGGCCCAGCAATAAAGCAATAGCTATCAAGGATAAATTATCCAATTTTTAACAGTCACACATTTTTTTCCCGTTCCAAATCTTGACTTTTAACTGCTAGCCTGCATGCAGCTTTTGAACCCAGTGCTTTTGAACTCAGAAAAGAACGTCTTCTGATGCCTTTTATGTAAAGATGTGTGTTACCTGTTGTGTGCACACCTGAAAATCATCACTGAGAATTAGGCTCATAGAGACCAGAGCACTAGTTCCCATGCTCTTACTGCTGTGTCAGGATGTTTTTGCTTGTGGGTGAGCAATAAAGCAAAGAGGCTTATAGGATCAGAGGAGAAGATGGAAGAGTCTTCCATTCACYTCCTCCATCCCTCATGTCAACACAAAAGAATCCCAGGAGAGGGAGATTGGGGTTTGTGGCACAGCTCTAGGCACGTGGGCTTGGAAGATGCTGCTTCACCATAGACTTTTTGAGTGTCCTGTAGGGAATTGCTGAATTCCTTTGAATTCTTGTCCCACATCTGCCCCTGGAGAGATACATCTGTAATCTTCAGTGGATGAATGCATCCAAAAGGCTGTAAGGTGTTACAATACTACTACAGCCACATAGCAGGAAGAAAATAAATGCAGACGTTGTCAAAGGAGAAGAAGAGCAGGTTCCCAAGGCATTTCCCTGCTTGCCTCCAAGCACAACACAGTGCCTCTCTGGACCAGCCCCTGACAACCCTTTCTAGAGGGCTTGGATGAAAAGATCGCTGTGCACAGGGAAGAAAAAACCACGCAGGTAAAATTCAGTCGCTCTCAGAAACAAAAATAGAAACAAGAATAAATAGACTTTGAAATGTCTCTAGTACCTTTACCTGCAGAGGGTTCTTTGTGCTTATGGCAATGACGTGATACTTGTAGTARCACAGCTCACAGCTCCAGCAGCCCCTCTCGCTAATCCATTTGATCAGACATGGCTGGTGTGTGCATTTCACCGATCCATCGCATCGACACGGGCTCAACAACTCCCCCTGAAACAGAGAGACAGGATCAGTGAGGCTCCCTCCGCCCACAGCACCCGGGCACGGCACCGCACGGCTGGGCAACCACGTGCGGACACTGGTGCTGGCCTAAGTGCTCCCATCATCTGCTCGTCTGCTGGGTGTTTCCTTTTACCTGGCTTAGGCAATTGTGCTGTGTCCCTGTAGTAATTCCTGAACGGAGTTTGATGGAGATGTGGAGGTCTCGAAAATGCCTCTCTTTTTCAGAAAGAGATGGGTGGGTACATGAGAAACACCCAGTATCACTACTGAAGAAATGTGAATACAGCTCCTATTAGACCCGCAAAATCCACCCAAGTTTGCAACAGAAACACAGCTCTGACAGAAACTGGACACTATTTTTTCACTTATGGCTATCTGTAGCTATTTTTTTTTTTCCAAATAAAGAAAGGATTCCTGGTGGGGAAAGGTGCTGGGCAGGCTCTGCTGGAACCTAGTGCCCTACTCAGCCCAGGGCAGCTTCCTTGAACTGAACCGGGCACCATGGAGGAGACACTATGACCTTAGGTCTTTCAGTGCAACGGAGTAATACCAAACATGGTGGTGCCGTTCCTCTCTGGGAGACAAACTGATCCCAGTGTGATGCAGAACCTGCCAGAAATTGCCAGGTGATTAATGTTTGCAGTGCTAGGCACAGGTCTCTCTTTCTGAGTGCTCCTGTATCAAGAGGAATGAACCTGACCACGGATATCAAGCRTGCGCTTTAGATTCAAGTCTTTATGTACCCATAACACAGCAGGGAAAAGGTCCTCAAATTTCACCCCCAATCCACTTCCCCCAAGACTGCCCATGTCAAAAATGACTCCTATAGATAGATATACTGGGGGTCTGGCTACCTCCACCACAAAAGCAAGCAACATGGAAAACAATCTTTGTCCTGCTCTGCTGCACATGAACACATTTCTGAGTAGTGACCAAACCACCCCACTGCTTCGATTGCTCCCTTGTTTCTGGTATAGCTGTAAACAGACTATTGAGGAAACCACGACCAGGTTCTACTACCTTGTTCCTCACAGGTACATACCTTCACTTCTGTACATACCAGCTCAGGAGCTCATTCTACAATCAAGTGACCAACAATTGTGATGACCGTTTGCCATTACTTATTTAGGAAAGAACAGAACTGTTGCATTTTACTTCCCACCTCTTAAAGTTTAAAAGCCATAATATGGACCCCAACTGGTTTTTTAGCTGAATCCAGAGTTTTAAAGCTTTAAAGATAGGAGTGCCTACAAGATGGAAAAGGGTGGCATTATAATTTCAGTGCTGCGTAGAGGATCAACCTCAATCAACCCTTTGTTCTCCCCACTGTTACCATTGATGGTGCACCAGGAAAACAGAGACTGGGCACTGAGGTTGCAGGACACAGCAAAAGATGCCCACCCTGGGTTGTCCTGCATTAGAAGAACAGCCTCCACTACTGGTAAACCTGGGGAAAAAACACTTTAGATTTCAGGGGTCCACATTAGGTCTGAAGACCCAATGAAGAGAGAGTCACTCAGGGCAAGAATGATACCTCTTTATATGAAATCTAACGCAAACAAAAAAAAAGTTAATAATTTCTTTGCTTCAGCTAGGTGACCTGAAAATGTCATTTTTTTCTAAAATTTCAGCAAAACTGTAAATAACTGTTTACGTTACAAAGCCAGATTCCATTCTACCTGGCACTGATTTTCATTACACACTGGCGGGGATGTGAAGGGAAGGGAAYGCAGCAAACAGGGCTTTAAGATCTGTGGATTTATTTTTCATCTGGAAAGCTGCGACAGGACAAGACAGGTCTATCAGGAGAAGGAAAATGGGAAAAGATTGGATAGGAGGAAGGTGTGTGGGAGAGAGGAGGGCTGATGTTTGACGTGCAAACTATCTGTGCAAGGTGTAGTTGGAGGAGCAGGAATTCTGCCGTGTGTCTTTGTGCCCCTTGCACAAGTGCCATAGGAAACCTATGTGAGCACATACTGCCAGCCAGSAGGCAATGGGAGAGGGAGCAGGGCATTCCCTGTCCCTCACCAGGTAAATCTGTGCCTGYTCCATGTCCCTCTGCTCTGAGCTCTCAGCCCTGCATTTTGCTTAAAGAGCWTCTAAAGCACTGGTGAGGCAGGATTGAGCGTGGGGCAGAATGGGGCAAACAACCTCCAGGCAAAGGCAGTGGATGAAAGGTGTAATCGTAGCCTGCAGAGCAGCAGGGAAGAGTGGCCATGGGCTCTTTGGCTCTGTAATAAATGGATCAACAAAATCAGAGCTATTTTCTTCAGAGGCAGAAGGTGTCCGTAAGTTTCTCACACCGCTGTGGGGACCCAGTCCCCCTTTCCCAAGCAGGAGGCTGTAACACAGATTGTCCTGCTGTCTCCTGCAACAACTCAGGACTGAACCGTGGGGATCGGAAGGCCCCAATTTCTCAGTATTTTGCAAATCCAGCAAAAACATGATTTATCACCATCTTCTCCAGCCGTGTGAAATATTTTATCTTTGCATGTGGTGCACAGCTATTTTTGCATACTGTGAAGCCCAATTCTGTACACAGCAGGCATTGATAAAAAGTGCCAAATGTACACACGTACACATGCACTTATGTACCACAAGAAAAATAAACACCAAGGAGATATTAAAGGAATAAATTCTTAGTACAGCAAAGGAGAAAATCTCATTGCTGACTATACAGTGTGCTGAGGAACAGACTGTCAGCTGTGATTAACGCATGAAGGATTCACTTTACAAACACACACAAAAGCACGACTAAAAGGAGACACAGCTCCCAGCAACTAGAGGTGGAAATTACAACCCCAATGTCCATTTCTTTTGGCTTGGAGAAGATGGTCTGCACAACATATCCCCCCGTGCTTCAAGTATCACTGTTCCCACCAATTCCCCTTGGAACTGTTCTCCAAAGGTGCTTTGAAGGGAAGAAATAATTCCCAACACTTATTTTTGCAATCTTATTTCATTTCATTACATCCTGTCATTCAGATCAGCCTAAACATTTTTAGGTATTTCTGTTTTTCCAGCAACTAGTGGGGGAATGGTCCCCAGCTGCTGCTTCCAATAGTTCCTCAGCTTGCTCTCTAATGTCTTGTCCCTCTTAAACAACCAAGAAGATGTGGGACTCAGAGGGATCTCTTTCATGTTTTGTTATCCCGGTCTAAATTGGGGTTGGTATGAAGAGTGGTAAAACCAGAGTTAACAGAATAATAATCAGGGTCCTGAATTCAGCTCTTACCCTGCCAACAAATGGATAAAATATTGTTTTGTGGCTCAGATGCTCAGAAAGGCCATGTGGGCTCCATCACCGGGGGAATATTGTCCCTTGCAATGCTTAGCCCAGCCCGCGCTCCTGCCTAGCCCTTGTGTGGGATCTCCTGGGATCTCCCTCCATTGCCTCAATGAACTGGCTGAGCAGAACCACCCTGATTTAGGGGTTCCTATGGCTTTGCCAGGAGTCAGCGCATGGGCCTAATGCTGCCAACTGCTTGCAATTAACTGGAAAAATGCTCCAAATGCTGCCTTTCTGGATAGCTGCAGGGAAACGGATGAGATTGCTGGAGATGAACTGGGAGTCCGTGTTTGTTCCAGCTCTGTCCTCTCTTCATGAAACCCTGATCTGTGTCCATTGCAATACGTCAAAGTGGGTAATGATTATCTGGGCCCTRCTATTTTAAGCCTTCTGGGAGGTGTTCTGAGTAAGGATGGAAAAAAATTATTGTTAATGTGAGCTTCTGATGCCTGGTGTATCCAGGGAGAAAATAGCTACATCGAGACCAGCATACTGATGTCGGTGTCTCACCCGGCCATTTTATTTGCTATTTAACAGGCTCATCTGTGGTGCTGGGACTCCAACCACACATTGCTACTGAAGCTGAAATTGCTCACCCACCAGCAGGCAGCTATGRGAGACGTTTCCCAGGCCTGTACTTTTAACTACAAATCAACAATAACAGATTTTTCCCTTTTCTGTACCCTTTCAGATGGAGGACTGTCTCACCTGGTTTAACCTCCACCTTCCCTCAAACTTGGGCTGATAGAGACAGATGAAGAACAAGCAGAGGACTGAGCACGAGCCAAACTTCCTTTGGGTGTGCAGGTGCAAGCCTACCTGGTCTTTCTGAGCACCCAAGCCTGGAGATGGCAGGGCCATTTGCCCAAGCCATGGACTTCCAAGCTCTCCCAGCTCCAGGGCACCCACTGCAGAGCTCTTTGACCTCCTATACCTGCTTCAGTAATCTCTCCTTGCACCAGCTCAGCTCTAAAAAGCAAACATCATACTATTAAAGTGAGCATTTTGAGAAGCAGTGCAAATTGTACAGCAAACGGTGATGGCTGGTGGTGATTACAGCACTTGCAAATTTTTCTTAACTGTGTGTTTCCTTGCTCAGGTACAAAAAGTAGCATCAGTTGCCAGCATCAGCAGCAGGATCAGTGCTGTGGGACAGACCAGGGCAGTGCAAACAAGGTAAGACAGTTGTCCATACCACATGGGCTACAGCCTCCCTCTGGATTTGAACACACAGCTTCTGCTGATCACAGAGTAGCTGCACACATGGCTCTGACTGCTAGCATCAATCTGAGTTTGTCTTGTTTGGAAAAAGGAAACTGGGAATATTTAATTTCAGGTCTTCAACTGAGTCTCCTAAATACACTTAACTTCACATTGAATTTAAATGCAATGGGAAGTTTTATTATGGCAAATAAATACCAAATGATTTCTATATTAAGAACATAATTACAGAGGAATTAACTCTGATGGCAAAGAGAAACCCTTTGTTACATAGCTGGTAAACTTCAATAAATATGTACTAATGATCACTCTGTCTTTACCCATGCTTAGGGGAGCTGCCCCTCCATCCTCTTAAACSTAAACACACACTTTGCTGTAAGCATCTCAAACGCTCCCTGTGAGGACCCTGCTGAGCGTGAATAGCGCGCCAGCCTGCCAGGGACAACAGGAGACACGTAATAAGTACCTCTGCCAACGGAGGTCATGCGTTTCCATTGTGCCTCCTCTCGGAGCCCTTCAAAGTGTATATGTATATATATACATATAACTATATATAACTATATATATATATGTATATCACATGAAACCCTCCAGCAGTAGACTGAGGGTGGTTTCAGCAAGATGAAGTGAGAAGAGGGCTCACATTTCCCATGGCACCTGGACAGTGGCARGGGACGCTTATCCTGCTGCTGGTGGTGGGACCCCTCTGGGGCCTGGTCAGCCTCCTGTGGGGCTCTAGCACTATGGCTGGTAGCATGGCTGGGCCTGGCATGGTGAGGGCACGTCAGGTGTTCCTGGTGGAGCAGGGGGCCATGCCGGCTACCATGGCRTTAGGATGGCAGGAAGGAGCAAGGTCTGACTTGCAGGTGTCTGAGGACTGCCATATGGAGAGGAGTCCTACGGTGGGTGCACTTGTCCTAGCTCCTCAGAGGCCAGATGGACCTGACTGCTCCTCYGATTTGGGGATGGAGCATTTGGCTGTGAGGCCTCAGAGCCTCATATGGCCTCACAGGCCTCAGATGCTCTGAGCGATGACCATCATCCTCCAATTCGGGGGCAGAGGTGCGTATGGCAGGTGATCCATCTTAGGGAGGAGGTAAGGACTTACCAAGTCCCATCAGAGAGAAGTTTCCAGCCTGCAGCCGCCTGGCCAAAATTCCCAGCTTGGGAACCAGGCTGGGGAGCTCTGCGAGACGGGGCTGCCCTCAGGCAGGTGTGGGTCCCTTTGTGGGGTCGCCACAGTGGTTGCAAGTGAAAGCCCCAACCCCATATTAAAGCCAGGGGATTTTGGAACGGGTTCAGTGGGGCACAGATCTGTTGTTTTGCAGCTATGAGCAATTTTTGATGGGTATTAGCGGCTCCAGCAGCCCCGCGAGTGTGACACGTATCTCCAGAAGGGCTGTGACTAATGTAGCTCCCAGGCGTCCCTCACCCGCAGCCTGCATCCGAGCAGAAAAATAGGGATAARGCTTGAACCTCCCCAGCAAAACTAACAGCACAGGGAGAGGGAGGATAATTTGGGGACTGTCTGGGAATGTGGGCATTGGKCTGGGATATGTTTCATAAGGTCTTGGGCTAAAATGAAGTGTTTGCTCCAGCATGAATCCTGTCTGAAAAGCCATCACATTCGCAGAAAATATCCTGGTCTCCCGAAAGCAGCACAAATTGCCTTTCCACCCCCAGAAACTGCCTTCTGCAACACCTGCAAAGAGCAGGGCTTTTTCCCTTGTTGGTTTCAGAGCTCCAAGGCTGACAGACTCTATAAAACRGTATTTATTTATTTATTTGTGCGTCTCCAATGAAGCCCACGCTTGCGGCTGCTGAGCACAGCAAGGCAAAGGTGCGTCAGGGTGCGGAGCTGTCTCAGCTCCCCCGCCGGGTGACGCGGCTTGGTGACATTTGAGGGCCTGGAGGCAGGCGGTGACGTTATCCCTGCCATGAAGTGTCTCCAGGAATCACTGGCTCACAGTAACGCTAGGGCTGTCTCAGCACCAGGCACACTGAGATCAATTYTGCTTTGCCAGCTAGGACTTAGGGCCTTTGAAACAATGCTTGACACCTTTTACCCTCCTGATATCTGGCTTATGTCTAAAATTCAGCGCTTTTGTCACCCTGTTGTATTATGTGATGCTCGGGAAGATAAGAAATGTATCCTAGCACCCTGGATACTGCAGGCACCTAGGGAGGCGGGTTATGGCTAAAGTTTATGGCTAGTCTTAAAGGTTATGGCTCAACCTTGTAGATCCCAACTCTGGGATTTCTGGGACACCAGTGAGTTTTGCCCATGTAATAAGCCAAAAGGTGTACAGTTTGATGAAAGCTCTGGAGGCTCAGCTTTGTTGTTGGCACACAGCAGTTAAAACCCTGGCCACTGCAGTGAGCTGGGGGAGAGACATTTGACCAGTTTGTGTCCCAGAAAGCTCCCGGGGAACCCCATGCCACAGTGTTTGCCCTATGCAAGCAAATTGCCCTGCTCCTCCTATGCCACCTCTGAATGAGATGCTCAAGGACAACTCYTGCAGGGCTGCCCCATGCACCCACAAGGTCCTCTCCGTGTACTATCAGCAATGGGTGCCAAATCAAAGCATCTGATGGCGGCCACCTTACTCTGCCTTTCCCACAGGGCACGCAGAGTGCAAAGGACTCAGCTGCGCAGCAACAGGGACGAGTCTCCCTTGCATACAGATCAGCATTCAACTCGTTAGGGAAGAGGGAAAAAATGGTCTTTTCCTCTTTTAATTGCTAAAGCTTCAAGGAGCTTTGCAGGACAGGARGGTGGGACAGAGACAAATGAAGATGAGGAGTAAGAGCTCAGGAAGAAATGGAACAAGGGGGTAGAGGCCGAAGAAGTCCTTGGCATGGAAAGCCCTTGGCATTAAGGAGCAGTGGTTCTGCCTCCGTGAGACAGAAGCCTCCCTGCTGCAGTGACTTGTCATGGGAGCTGTACAGAGCAGTGGCTTTGCTGCATGGCTCTGCCCTGGCTCCTTCACTGGTTTCCAGGGGAAGGTGATTGAATGCAACTCCTTGGAGCTTAATGTGAGTTGTCAGGGAGCTGGGGCACGTTTGTGCAATGCCTCGGAAACAGAAAAGCAAAGTAGAAACTGGGAGTTGAATGTGAAACACTTGGACATGTCCCTACCACTTCTCTCTCACACACACACACACACACACACACACACAAAAAAAAAAAAAAGCTTCATCTAGGCTAGGGTGATTTCAATATTCAAATGTCAGTAATTAAGTTACTTGCCAATGCATTTGCCCACAGGCAGGCAAAATCCCTCAGACCAGAGCACATCCCTGCTACCACTGGTAACGGCTGAAAGGAGCTGGTAGGACCAGGTGTCTCATGGGTTAACATCAATTCCCTTTAAGGGGAAGTCTATTAAAGCAGCAAGAAACCTACATTTTTCAAGAAGCAGAGAAGCACAGGTATTTCTTGTGCAACAAGCTACGGAGAATTTTAACACTCTGGTTTCAGGCCAGTGAAAGGTGAAGGGCAGAGGACTCTAAGACGTAAATCTCATTCAGCTATAAAAGCAGCACCACATGGAAAGCTGCTCTTATGGCCTGTGTTGCTACRGGCTGGTACTCATCCGGGACAATCACTGCTAGCTGAATGGGAAGGACAGTCCCTCGGGATCCATTCAGCTGAGCTAAAGATAGCAGAGATCCATTTCTGCATGCGGCTCTTGCCAGCTGATAGGCAGGGAGATTCCTCTGAGCAGAAGTGCTGATCCATCAGTTAACCTACAAGCAAATTACACAGCGGATTACAACAGCTGGGTGATTAAAATAAATCCGATGAAGATAATAACAACAAAAAGTTCAGAAAAGGCCTTGATGGGGATGGGAGCCACGCACAAGTTTCAAACCAAGGAGGCCCATCCTGACAGTGGAGGGGTTTGCTGGTGGGCAAAGCCAGCGTGTTCGGTGAGTAGAGTAATGGGGAGGAAGATGTGACTGCAGAGAAGGTGCCACTGCTGAGAGCCAAAAGCGTCTTGCTGCCGCTGCTCAAGCTTGTGAAAAGAAATGGGGGTGATGAAGCATATAGGTGAGCACTCCTCCACGGTATCACATGAACCTGCTATCAGGCCCTCATGCAGAGAGGTCCCAGCTCTCTGTGATATGAGGTGTTGGGGTCCCCTTTGCACAAAAGGGAGGAGATTGTCTATCTTCAAGATGACTGGAGGTTGGACATGAATTTCCCTTCTTCTGCTTCCTGAACCAAGCTTTCTACTTAGCCCCTTCGCAGCCTTGATCTTTCGGGGTCAACTCCCTGGAGCAGACAAACTCAAACCARTTTAATTTCTTAAAGTCAGAAGACACCCTTCCTGTTGGATGAAAACATGTTTTCAAAGGCCTCAGTGCCTACTCAATAGACATAACAACTGACAAACCAATGGTTTCTAATCTAATTAGGCAAACACTGCTAGGGAATATATCCCCAGCTACATGCAATGCTGCCAGAGTCATGCGTGTTTTGTCCACATCCCATGATTTGTCCCCTGTCCCATCCCGCTCACGTAGCAGAGGCAAGCACAGCCTTTCCCAGTCACATACATGTTTTTGTAGAGCCCAGCTATTGCTCCATACCGTGCCAGGCAGCCTTGCTCCAGCCACTATTGCACGTAGGCTTG